TAATAATTAACTATATATATAAATTTAAGATTTTTAAGCTTAGCTCTATCTTATTCTTTTATATAAAAAAAGATTTATAAATTAAATTCATAATTTTTTTTTTTTAATTAGAGCTATCGAGTAAATTTTAATAAGCGATCTTTAATAAGCGATATCTAAATTCCTTATCTTTAAATATCTATAAGATTAAATTTAATAATCTCTTTTTTATTTAAAAGCTTATATTATACTCTATAATTAAAATAAAAAATTCTATAATTTTAATAGAAAATAAAAAAGTTATTCTAAAATTAAATAATATATATCTATTTTTTAATTAAGGCTATTCGGCTATCGAGCGAACTTTAATAAGCGATATTTAAATTCCTTACGCTTTAATAATTATAAGACTAAATTTAGAAATTTCTTTTTTATCTAAAAGTCTATAATTCGTTTTATAATTTAAAAAAAAAATCTTAAAAAGTTAATAGAAAATAAAAAACTTTTTCTATATATTAATAATATATATCTATTTTTTTAATAGTTATAAACGTTAATTTATTTATTCGTAATATTTAATTAAAAAGCGTAGATCTAATAAATTAATAATTAACTATATATATAAATTTAAGATTTTCTAGTTTAACTCTATCTTATTCTATTATATATACTAATATACTAATTCTTATAAGTATCTTTTCTTATATTAATCTCGATATTTACTTACTTAATTATTTAATTCTTAAGTATAAGTATAATAATCTTAAACCTTCTTAATTATAACGTTTTTAATAATAGATTTTAACTTACTTATACGTATATTTTAAATCTTAATAATAATAAAATAGCTAATAGCGAATAGTTTCTACTTTCTAATATATAAGATATATTATCTCTTCTTCTCTAAATAGATTTAATCTTAACGATTCTTAAAATCGATATTAATATTAATATTAGTATTAGTATAGACGATACGCTAAGCTTTAAACTCGATAAAAAGAACTTCTTTATTTATAATAGAAAGCTCGTTTCGAGATTATTATAGAGAAGATCGAATTAGATTTAATAACGTCTTTAATTATTACGAGCGTACTCTACTTAGCTCTTAGCTCTATAACTAGCGAGTCTTAGCGAAGATATCTTCTATTATATTATATCTTCTTCTTATATATATAATTCGATAGTCTTATTATTCTCGTTCTATCTTATTTATATTAATATTATATTTATATTAATTCTAATATTATAATAAGACTTCTTTATACTTTCTCTCTCGACGAAGAAAATTAACGAGTTTTTTACTTTCTACTCGAAGTAAGTAATCGAGTCTAATAAAGAAAACGCTAAGTATTTCTATTATATAGAAGTCTTACTATTAAGATATCTATATTATTCGAAAGAATCTATATTAGATAGTCTATATTATTAACAATAGCTTAATCTATTAAAAAACGAGTCCTCTATATCGAATATAAGAAATTCTTCTCCGCTTCGTTTCTTATAAAAAGTCTATTATTAACTAAGAGATCTTTAGCGAACTTTCTATTATTCGAAAGAATATTATTTAGAGTATTTATAGTCTTTATAACGACTTAATCGATTAAGAAATGAAAGAAATACTATTTCGAGCGTTATAGTCAAATTTCGACTCTTAATATAGAGATCTATTATCTTTCTTAACTCGTATATACTTTTATAGTATCGAAGTCTTAGAGATCTCTTAATCTACTCGATAAAGATACTATTCGATATTTATAATCTCTCAACGAAGAAGTCTAGTCAAAATCGCTATTTTTACGCCTATCTTCTTCGCTCCGTTTTTATCTATATTTAATATATTATAAATTTCTTAAATTCACCTATATTAATACTAAGATATCGTTTTTTATATCGTCGTTATAAGAACGCTTTCTCTTTCTCTAGATTACGATCTTCTATATATTATAATTAGTCTTATTCTATATATTATCTTATATACGAAAACCTATATATAAGATATTCGCCTTTAAATTCGCTATAACTTCGTATACTACGCGTATAGCGCTCTCTATCTACTAAGAATCTTTATTAGTAATATTATAAAATATTAAGTTATTCGAAGAAGATATAAAGCTAAAACTCGACTAGCATCTCTGCCTTTTTATCTTCGTTTCTATCTTCATTTATATTACGAGATTTCGAAGTACTAAGAATATATCGACATCGATATCGATTAATCTCGCTATAGTTAGTTAGATAGCTACTTAATTCGAGACTATCGAATTTATCTATCTTTAATAATATCGATAAATCTAAATTTAAGAATTAAAAAATAAGAATTATAAATAAAATTAGTCTTAATAAAGATTATTATTTTATCTACGCTTTTTAGATAAATTACGTTATATTATATCTTAAAGAAAAGACTATCGAGTATACGATATCTAAATATTAAACGATTATAAAAAATTCTTATCTCTTAGTCGACGATCTTCTAAATTAACTACGCGATCTTTATAAGATTTTATTAGATATTATTTAATAAAGAAATATTTATAATTATTTAATCTTTAGAAGATATAATAGTTAGTTATTTTTCGAGTATTATATAGAGTTTATAAAATATACCGCGTATATATAAAAGTATAGCGATAAAGAATATTAGATTAATATTATTTAGTTAGATCTTATAATCGACTTAAGAAATAGAGTAAATCTTCGTCTTCTAAACGAATATACTATATATAAAAGAAAGTAAATATTATTAGATCTAAAGAAATATCTTATTATATTAAAATATCGTAATCTAATATATATCGAATAACTAATAGATAAGAAAGTAAAAGTATTTATTAAATAGTATATTAAGGTAAGACTCGAAGATATAAGCAAACCGCGTAGTAAATATACTATTATTTCTTATTCTAATCTAGAGAAATATAGGCGATAGACTAGACGTATTAGATCTATAAACGATAGACTATATAAATATATTAGATCTATAAACGATATAATTATAAAAATATAGTAGATATAGTTAAGAATATAATAGTTCTATAAATATAGTCGAAATTAGTATAAATATTAGCAAATTCTCGAATATTATATTTTTAAACGAATTAAAATTATCTAATATCTTTAGAAAGATCTTATTTTTTTATATTCGTAAATTAATTTCTTAGACTTATATTGCTAAATAATTATCTTATATTAGATCTATTAATTAGACTCTCTATATTATTATATATCTAAACGACTTTCGAAGCTATAGTATATTATCTATAAATCTTACTATCGTCATTAATAGTCTTAATCGATATTAACTATATAACGTTTTATAGAGAAACTTATATCGAGATTATCTAATATTAATTTAAAGTTTTAGCGTTTACGACTTGATTCGATTTAAGAGATATCGACTAATTAGATTATATTATTTTATTAATTTCTTCTTTATTATATTAGATAATTATTATATAATAAATTCTTTTTTAATTATTATTTATTTAATTCTTTATAGATTTTTATTAAATTAAAAGTTCTTTAACGCTACGATAAAGTGCTATTAACGACGCGCTAGCGAAATCTTCGAGACGCGATATCGCTATCGTCGTCGCCGTTAAAAAAAGATATTAATTTAATCTAGCACAGTATATATTAAAAGTCTTTATTTTTATAAATTTTAGCGAGCGATAATTCTTTCGAAGAATTATAGATACTTAAAGATATAAGGCGAGTAATAAATCTATATCTTCGATCTATTAATTATAGAGACTATAGCTCTTTAAGAGAGAGAAGTACTATTATAAGCGTACTCTACTTAACTCTTAGCCCTATAACTAGCGGGCCTTAGCGAAGACATCCTCTATTATATCATATCTTCTATTCACATATATAGTTCGATAGTCTTATTATTCTCGTTCTATCTTACTTATAATATCGTATCTATACTAATTCTAATATTAATATAAGAGTCTTATAAACGCTACGAAGTTTAATAGACTTTAAAAATAGAATTTAATCGTAATTATATAACTCGACTAAATTTCTTTATAAGAGTTTTAAATATATTTAGCTTAGAAAACTATTACGTAATTAATAATTAATCTTAGAAAGTATATAAAGAAGTTATTAATAAAGAAGAAAGATAAAGAATAAATAAAAGAATATTATTTATTTAATTAATAATAATATAGTATAAGTAGTTATTCTAAGCGTTTATCTTTATTTTAGAAGATAATCTTCTATTATATAAAGATATTTTCTATATATAGTTAACTAGTTCTTCTAGAAACGAAATATACTCTATATATCTATTTTAATAAAGCGTTTATATAAGTTATTTTCTATATATAATTAATTAATTCTAAGAATATATTAAATTATATATCTTTTATTCTAATAGAGCGTTTATATAAGATATCTTCTATTTATAATTAATTAATTCTAGAGATATATTAAAAGAAATACGCTTTATATATCTATATAGCTATTATTTTAATAGAGCGTTTCTTCGAGTTCTCTAATTAGCGTTAGCGAGCTTATTAATAATAACGACTAGCGTTATAGACTATACGATATTATAATATTATAAGACTATATTATATATAAGATACGATTTTAAACGAGTATTAGACGCCTTTTTAGATTATAAGATAAAGTTTTTATTATTAGTTAATTCGATATAACTATTACGTCTTTTAACGAAATTTGACGTAAAAGAAGTTACGTAAGGTAAGAATCGTAGCCAGAGCTCGAGCGTTAAAGAAAAGAAGCCAGAACACCTCAACTTTTCTTGCGCAAATCAGAAGCAAAATGTGGCATTTCGATATGCCATGGGTTTTCGAAGCGAGCGCGGCGAGACGAGCTGTTGGAATTGACGTAGCCTACACACCACTCCATATTTAATAAAATATCAATCCTCCTCTGATAAATTCCAACAGTCACATATCAAAAAGGCAACAGGATGGTCCACGGACTGTGCTATACCGAGTGACCACCTTCATCCGACTATACGAAATCCTTTATGCTTTTACCGCGGCTCAAGAATCGACTGGTGAGGCACTATCCACCCCTTTGTTCTCAATCTCTCCCTCGTCCTTCGACACTCCAATCTTGCCCACTACAAGCCAGGCAGGTATCAAAGACACAGCCCAAAGACCGAAATTCAGGTACACTCCACCAACAGATGCCATGATAGCCACGCTGTTAACGCCGTACTACGACTGTCAGCATCTCTATTTGGCAAGGCGTATGAGCTCATAACTTACACTAATTGCTTGCCAGCCTGACTCGGTTCCCCTCAGCAATCCTGCAATGCGGACAATCTCTGCCGGCGACTTCGCGATGTGACCGACCACAAAGTATCTTATCACCGTCAGTCACACTTCTCACACCACTAACACCGCTGATACTCACAGATACAAGTAATTAAGCTGAAACCCTACCACCCATAGCAAAAAGAGCGCGAATGCCCTCCCAAAGCCCGGGTCGACCCAGTCGTACGTGGGCTTGGTTCTATGAAAGTCAGTGACCAAAACGGTAGCCCAGATCCACCAGGCACCCTGCAGTCCCAGCACGGTGACGAACGAGCTTCTGGCACGGGTCTTGAGCGTGATTTTTCTGGCGTCAAGAAATGCTCCAAGAAGATTGCCAGCAACGACAGCCACGATACCGGAGAGAAATGAGCCTAATGCTCGAGCACGAACGCTGAACCAAAGCGACTCGTATGTAAACATGACGGCTTCCGTGTAGACACCTTGGCCAATCAGGGGAACGATGAAAAGGAACTCCTTGCTGAAAAAGAGTTTCGCTGTAAGCTGCAATTCTCTTAAACTCCCGTTCGTGATGCTCATATCTACTCGCACACCGTCTTTGCGCTGGACTCGGGATGGCTTGTTCACAAGCAGACCCACGAACGGACCGAGTGCTTGTAAAGCGATGAAGGCCAGATATACTTTGTACGAGACCTTCCCCGCCTGATTGTTCTTTGCATTGACACCAAGATTGATCGCCTGACAACAACGCACTGTCAGCTTTTTCAACATCCCAGGAAAAAAAATCCCCATCAGAGCAACTCACACCACCCAAGATCTGGCCGCCAACACGGAAACTCAACCAGAGTCCCAAGAAGCGGCCTTGGTTGTTCGGCTCAGGATAAGAGAGCGCAATGGCCGCCTCGGCCGTCCAGAAAACGCCCGCCGAAATGCCGCACAGCGCCGCGCCAAAGAGGACGAACCACTCGGTCCCGAAGCGATTGTTCGTGTACAGGCCAGCCGCGTACGGGGCATAGCCCATGGTTCCGAAGATGAGGGCCCACTTGATGCCGACGAGGCGGACGATGACGCTGCTGAAGCTGCACGAGACGACCATGAGGCAGAACGTGAGGGCGTTCGCGCCGTTGACCAGGTACGGTTTCTCCTCCCCGGCGGCGCCGAGCGAGTTCATCGCTGCAGAAATCACACCTTGGTCAGCCCGTAGCCCGCGAGATGTTTCTCCTTCCGGCGATGGAGTTTTACCTCCCCATATTCCGGGCGCGAGGAAGTTGCAAACGCCGAGTATTAACGCGTTGTAGAGGGTTGAGCGGTACCACTTGACTGCACAAGTGTGTAAGTTTCGACCGCTGGAGAACGATAGCTTTGATTGGCGGGAAGGCTGTTCACCTTTCAGCGTCGCCGTATTAGACGTCTTTTCCTCGTCTTCACACGCAGGATCCGCCTTGGGATCGCTCAAGATTTCGGTCATCTTTCTATAGCCAGAGAAAGTGTCTGGCAATGGAGCTCGTAGAGAAAGAAATCCAACAAGATGGAAGATGGAGACATCCGTGGTTCAAGAGAGCCAATAGCCTGATCATTATATATCATAAATGCTGGAAAAGGTGGTAAAGACACTACAGGGCCTAGCTAACGCACGATCGTTGTCGGTAGTTTATAGACGTTTTACAATTGGCTCCGGAACCTTGGGGATGGTATTGCACCATTGGCCCTAGGATTGCATGCTTTAGTGCGCTACTCAGCACGAGAAACACAAGCCTTGTTGCGTGAGGGCTCAGATAACAAATGAGATGCAATCAAGACACAATCTACGCATAATTCGCTCACGATGCCAATCTGAAACGGCCATTTTAACCGGCTAGCTACACGGCGACATCATTCTTATCATCATTGCTTTCTTTTTCGCTTCTTGCTCTGATCGCATACGCAGGCTCCAGCTCCCCAGCCTTCCAGAAATACTGCGCCCCGGGATGATTGTCCGCCAACCGATTCCCTCCGGGCCTGGCGAAATAGTTCTCCCTCAAAGTCCCCCCCGGCACGGCGTAGTCCTCCCAGAAGACGCTCCTCCGTCTCAACTCTGGAATCAACAGGGTAATGATATCCTGGAATGTTTCCGGAATGCTCGCGTAGCTCAAATTGAACCCATCCACATCCGCAACCTCGATCCACCGTTCCAACTCATCCGCCACCGTCGTCGGGTCGCCTATCACCTTGGCGCCATTGCCGCCCAAGACGAGCCACTCGGCAATGGTCTTCTTGTTCCACGTCAGCCCCTCCGGCGACGTCGAGGCCCAATGGTTCACCATACTTCTCACGGCCGGCGGCGCCTCCTTGCTGAACCTGAAATCCTCCTCGTCCGAATACTTGCTGAGATCGTAGCCCGACCAGCCCCCGAACAAAGCCAGCGCGCCCTCCCGATCCCCGTACGACGCGAGCTCCTCGTACTTCTTCCGCGCCGCCTCGTCGCTCTCGGCGACGATGACCAGCAGGCCCGCGACGATCTTGATGTCCTGCGGGTCGCGTCCCAGCCGGGACGCTTCCTCACGGATGCCGTCGACGGAGGGACGGACCAGTTCCGGGGTATGCCCGTTCAGGAAGATGGCTTCGGCGTGCGTGGCGGCGAATTTGCGGCCCGCGGTGGACGTGCCCGCTTGAAAGAGGAAAGGCGTGCGCTGGGGCGAGGGCTCGCATAGATGCGGGCCCGGCACCGTGAAGTATTCCCCCTGGTGATTGACCTGTCTCACGGCTTTGGGGTCGGCGTATGCGTTGTTGTTGCCCTGCGGGTCTTCTCCTTCGGCAGGTGAAGGTGGAGGGAGCACAGCGTCGTCGCGCCAGGACCCTTCCCAGAGCTTGTAGGTGACGTGGAGGTATTCGTGCGCGATGCGATAGCGCTCGTCGTGTTCGATTTGGGTCTTCAGCGCGAAGTTCCGGGCCGCGGAGTCGAGGTAGGAGGTCACGATGTTCCAGGCGACGCGGCCATTGCTGAGGTGATCGACGGTTGAGAACCTTCGCGCGAGGGCGTAGGGAGCGTCGTAGGTTGTTGAAGCGGTGACGCCGAAGCCGATGCTGTTGGTCGATGCTGCCATTGCTGGGATGGTGTACAAAGGGTCATTAATGGGGAATTGGGCGGCGGCGGGGATGGTGGGGTCGAGGTTGGCAGGACCTTTGTAGACGTCGTAGCCGCCGAGGACATCGGCGAAGAAGATTGCGTGGAATTTGGCTTGCTCGAGTTCCTTGGCCAGGGCGATCCAGTGCTGGATGTCTTTGTACTTGCGGCCTTGGTCTTTAGGGTACTTGAACAGCCCCGGGTTCAAATGGCCTGGTGCCTGCATGGCGAAGGCGTTGAGGATCCATTGTTTCTTTGATTCTCCCATGATGGCAAGGTTTGCAGGTCAAGCGATTCGTGTACTCTACACACTGGAGAGGGTATGGTTTCGGTCGAGAAGCGCACATGACATCTCAGCTCGATAGGTCATAGAGTAGCAGGAGTAGTAGCATCGCGGAGCCAAAGCCGAATTTAGGCTGGACAATAACATGATTGAATTGTTGATTGTCAAAGCCAGGTTCATGTTTTCCCTATGCAATATGACGTGCATCCAGCCTTTCATCATTAAGCGTCGCGATTGCGCCATCGCGGGGTGAAGTTGCAACCCAACTCCATGCATGATGCGAGAATAGGTGGGGTGAATAATCTCAGATCAGGATTCAATAAAAAAATAATAATGTAAATAAAGGTACCTATCTAGACCGTGGCAAAGACCCTTGGCGCATATAATTGACAAACCCATTTGTTACCAAGGCGTTTCGAGCAAGTTGAATTAAGCCATCACGAGATGCCCTTTGCATCTCCTAATACCACAGCTTCATCTCAATACTCAAGCCAATAAGATGGTAGCCAAAGCCACGGTCGACTCCGCAGAGGGTGCCTCGCAGTCTCTGCGTAATGGGTCGTTGAATGCTTTATTTGAGCTCGGGGAGCATCCGGTAGACGAGTCTCCAAAATTGAAAGTGGGTTTCCAAAATCGTTCGGAGGATTTCCATGTGCACTGAGTGACTCTTCGTTCTTTTCAGGTTGCCGTCATTGGTGCAGGCATCTCGGGCATTACTGCTGGCATTTTGCTCCCCATCAAAGTTCCCGGCATCCAGCTCACGATCCTGGAGAAGAATGCCGATGTGGTAAGTAACTCCCCCTGGACCGTCATCGAGCATCATGCCGATTTGAAGTCTCGTTGGTCTGTGTAGGGAGGCACCTGGCTCGAAAACTCATACCCCGGCGTACGATGCGACATTCCTGCGCATGTCTATCAGTCAACGTTCGAACCGAACATCGGGTGGACGGAGGAGTATGCTCAAGGGAACGAGATCAGAGACTACTGGCAGCGTGTGGCGCGTAAGTACGGGGTGTATGAGCGGCTTCGGGTGAACACCAAGGTCATCGCGGCCGAGTGGGCCAAGGAAGCTGCGCAGTGGCGATTGATGTTGGAAGATGTGGCGGCTGCGAGGACATACAGCGAAGATTTTGATGTAGTGATCGCGGCGATTGGCCGTTTCAACGCTTGGAAACTACCAGAGTATCCTGGCATTGAGTCGTATTCCGGCCGTCTCCGTCATGCAAGCAATTGGGATCCTGACTTCGATCCGCAAGGGAAGTCAGTCGCGGTCATTGGGAACGGAGCAAGCGGAATCCAAGTGGTCGCGAACCTTCAGAAAATAGTGAGCCGACTTGATCACTATGCCAGGAGTCCGACTTGGATCGCTGGTTCTTTTGCTGGGGAGGGTGAGGGCAGGAAACTTGAACCATTGTACTATTCACCTGAGACATTACGGTCTTTCGAAGACCCAGCAGTGTATCTTGAATTCCGCAAGAAATTTGAGGGAAAGTTTTACGGGAGATTCGAGACAATCCTGAGAGATTCCGAGGGAAACAAAAAGTTGAGGGAAGAGTTCAAAACGTCAATGGCGGAACGGACCAAAGACAAACCAGAACTTCTGGAGCATATACTGCCAGACTTTTCGCCCAACTGCAGGCGACTCACTCCTGGACCCGGTTATCTAGAGGCCTTAGCTCAACCGAATGTAAACTTCATCCGTACGCCAATTGCCGAGTTCAGGACCGACGGGATCGTGACCACAGACGGGGTGGTACGCAAGGTTGAGGCAGTCATCTGCTGCACCGGGGCGAACACCGATATGCTTCCACCGTTCCCCATCACCGTGCCTGGAACTGGTTCCCTCCAAGACGCGTGGACACCCGACCCCTACACGTACATGGGAGTCGCAACGCCTTCCTTTCCGAACCTCGTCTTCATCCAAGGTCCCAACGGCACCGGCTATAGTGGCACAGTGCCTAACCAGATCGAGACGCAAACGACCTATATCGCGGTCCTACTGCGCAAGGTCGCATCGCAGCGCGTCAAGACATTCGCCCCTTCGAAAGCCGCGACCGATGACTTCGTAGCTTACAGCGACGCTTTCTTCGCCCGGACGGTCTGGACGGAAGGATGTAGGTCGTGGGCGAATGGTGGTCGACCGGGAGCTCGAATTCATGGACACTGGCCCGGCAGCGCCTCGCATTTGAACTTTGTGAGGCGGAATCCTAGATGGGAGGACTGGGAATGGACGTACAAATCCGAGACCCAGAATCGATTCGCGTATTTTGGAAACGGGCGGACGAGTAAAGAGTCGCCGCTGGACGGTGCGGATCCGCCTCCGGATCTGGTGAAGTATTTAAAACGGCCTGATGAGATTGACCTGAGAATTTACCACGAAGAATGGTTTGATGTCTGAGTTGATTACAAGGCCGGCAAAAGTTTCCCTTTCTTTGAAACGCTACCGTCCCTCTTCTTGAACCCTAGCCTTGGAACACAAGCTCGAACTTTCGCACAACGCTCATGCTATATTATTGAGCTATAAAAAGTAGATATATATATTTAAAGCACTTAATAAGGTTAGTATCTCTTCAATTAATTTTAGAAAACGCTTATATCTCTATAATTATATCGAATAAGACTAGCTAATCTTAATAAGACTATAATAACTATAATTTTAAAAAGCACGCATTTATATTAAAGTTATCGATAAATATTATATTAAAAATAATAGATGAAGATTAGAAATTATTAATAAATAAAGTAGCTACTATCTTTAAGGCGGCGATAATATTTATAGAAAGAGTAAATAATAAATCTAAAATTTAAATAGTTTTAGATGAAATATATAAACTAGCTATTAACTTAAGTAATTAAGATAGTATTATAAAGAAAAAGATTATATATATTAAGTATTAAATAGCTAGTCTAGAAAGTAATATATCGATAGTTAGCTATATTAGCGTATTAAGTCGATTTCTAATATTCTTCTCTATTATTAAAGAAATCTCTATTATATTATTAGTAATATCGAAATAGAGCTAAGTATTATATAATAAGCTAAATGAAATTATTATAAAGCTATAAAACGAAATAATAAGTAAGATATTAGAGAAGAAGATATCGAGCGAGATAATTATAATAATTAATAAATATATAAAGAATATAAATATTATAAGAAAATCTATTAGAACGGCTAGAAGGCTAGCGAGTAGCGATATATATATTATAATTATAAATAAAGAAAAAGTAAATAGACTAAGAGAAAGTAAGAATTAAACTTTAAAGATAAATAATAGTATAAGAGTAATTACTAAAATATATAGCCTTCTACTCTATAGAGTAAGAATTAATATATTTAATACTAAAGATATAGCTATAGTAATTAAAAGGATTTAAAATAAGAACGCTAATACGCTAAGTCTTAATATTATATAACTAAGCTAATTTAGCGTAAATAAAGAGAATTATAATAAGAGTTTATTAATTATTAAATTAATATTCTTAGAGAAAGAAAATAGAGTATTAAAAGAAGATTTAGTTATTAATTTGAAATTATATAGTTATTATATCTATAATAAGCAATATAAATTAAAGTAATACTTCGTATACTAAAAATACGATTATCTATCGACTATATACTCTAAAAAGAATTACTTAATATATAAGAAATACTTAGAAAAGCATTATTATAAAGAATATATGATCGACACTCGTAAATACCCGATATATGAGAGACTATATAAGACTTAAAATAAGATATATATAGTAAAAAAGAGGGAGATAGCGAGAATAAGAATAGCGAGATAATAGACTTCTTTATAATTTATAATAACGAAGAAGATATCGACTAGCTACCAAATAAGCGATTAATTAAATAACTACTTTCAAAATATATTTAATCGAGGATGAAATAAGGAATTTTTTTTAAGGCTAGTATTTATACGCGATAGATTAATAGATAGAGATAAAATAGTTAGCGAAGAAGAACTTAGAGCGCTAGACCTCGAAAGAACTACTATATTAAATCTTTAGTCGAGTAGAAAAAGATATACTTCTATATTATTAATAAGAATCTTACTTAAAAATAAATCGCTCTTTAAAGTAATAGACGAAGTTAAATAATATAAGAATAATATAGCGATAGAGGAAATTAATAACTTCGAGGATAATAGATAACCTCTAAATTAAAAGAGTAATAATAAGAGAATTACGATTCTCGTTAATAAGAATAAAAAGAGATATATTCGATTTATCGATAACTAAAAAAAGGAGAATACTTAGAAAGAGAATATAAATTCTATAGATTAGACGGAGCGAGTAAGTATTACTAATAATAATATTAGAAAATAATAGTATATCTTAGTTAACTATTAATACTATAATATAATATAAGAAAATTTAGAATAATTATAATAGAACTTTTTGCTAATAAAAAGATCTATAATATCGATATAGTAGCAATTTAAAAGCTCTAAAGAAATATTAATATAAATATATCGTATTATTTTCTAAAGGATAGATTTAACTTAATCTATCTCTATTATAATAATATATAAATATACTTCTATATTAATAAAAGAATATTATTAAAGTAATAATATCTATTATATTACTTATTAAACCTCTATACTCTTAATATTAAGTTTAAAAATAATAGAATTATATATATATATAATATCTATAACTTCGGCGATTAATAAATAAATAAACTAAACGAACTATATAAGACGCTTATAAAGTCTAAGAATAATAAATAAATTATATTAAACGACTTCAATCTTTATTATATAATATAAGAGAGGTTAAATACTTATATTAATAAGAGAGTAGAAAAACTAATACTTATAGCGAAAAAATTCGCTATAAAATAAATATTATTAATAAAAATAAAAATATATAAAGAAAACTATTAAATAACGATAGATCTACTATTCGCTACTTTAGTATTAATAATAAATATTATTAATTATAATATCGAAAACGATTTCGAAAGTAAATCTAATTATCTTTTAATTTTTATAAAGTTTAAGCTAGTCGTAATAGAGTTAGTATTAATAATACGTTAAAACTTTAATAAATTAAATATCGAGATTTTAAGAGAAATACTCGTTAGAGTTATAATATCGAAAGAGTATTTAATTAATTCTCTAAGAAATAATAAAAATCTTATTAATAACGATATCGATTATTAAATAATAACTATTATTAACTCTATTTAAGCGGCTATAGAGGAGTTTACTTTAATTATTAAATTATCGCTATAGTTTAAACTAGGCTTTATATTAAAATATAAAAAAATATAAAGATATTATAAATTGCTAAAAAGAAATTAGAGAATAATACTCTTAAAGAAAGTATAGAATAAGTATAAAGTCGTTAAAAACTTTAAAAATAATCTAATTAAGAGAATTATTAGAAAGGCGTTTAGAGAGTTTATAGTAGAGGCGTATAAATTACTATAAATAATATAGAAAAAGATTAAGTAAATTAGAAAATAACTTATAATATAGATATATCTCCCTTTTCTATTTAATAAAGATAAATAAAAATATAACGAATTAAGTCTAAAAGTAGATCTTCTTATAAGAACGTTCTTTTTATTATTAATATAAACGAAATTAGATAATATTAGTATCGATATAATATATTTATAAGCTTATCTAATAAGTATAATTATCGTAAATAAAATAAGAAAGACTATAACGTAAGTATCGTTAAAGAGAGTCTTAAGGGGAAACGCGATTTTCAATCTAATTTTCAAAAAGATTCTAAAGCTATTACTTTTTTATCTATATAGAATATTTAATATATATATAACGAATAGCTATTATCTAAAGTACTTTAAAATATTAATAATAATTATCCTTTTAAAGTCGGGTAAGAATTATTCGATTTCTAAAGAATACTAATTAATAGCTTTATTTAACATTATAGAAAAGATAATAAAGTTTATTCTTACTAGAAGAATAGCGTATCTTATAAAGATATATAAACTTCTATCGACTATATATATGAGAAGTCATAGATTATAATTATATAAATACGATATTTACTATCTTCTAGAAAGAATATATTAAGTCTAGAACTCTAATAAAGTAGCTACGATATTACTACTAGATATTTCAGACGTATATAATAAAGTCTCTTATCCTCGACTACTTCATAATCTTCGAAAGTAAAAAATTAATATAAGAATAGTTAACTAAGTAGAATCGTTCTTATTTAATAAAATAATAATACTAAAAATAAGCGAATACTTTATATTAAAGACTTTTTTAGCAATCGAAATTTCTTAAGAATTATTACTATTATCTATACTCTATCTCTTCTATAATTTAGATCTTATTAATAAATATAATAATCGCGCTAACTTAGAAACGATAGCTATTAGCTTTATAGATAATATAAACCTTCTAATAATAAAAGATTTTATCGAGAAAAACTATATCGCTCTTCGTAAAATTCATAACGAAATTTATATAAAGTAAGTAATATAATATAGATCGAAGTTTAATTTTAGTAAATATCAACTACTATATCTTAATAGAAAATAGAGATTTAGTTTAAATTATTCTCTATAACTTAATAAGAGATAATATATTAAGATAAGATAATTTATTCGCTATCTAAAAGTCGAAATTAACTCTAAACTTCTATAAAGCTATTATAATAAGAAGATTTAATCTAAGACTATCAAAAGTATTAATATATTAGCGAGAATTATTAAATTAATATAGGGCGATAATTATAAAAGTATAAGATAACTCTATTAGATAGTAATTATTCTATAAATAATATACTACTACTTAGTATAATATTAATCTAAAAATACTATCGACTATAATAAAACTTATCTCTTATCGCTATAAAGAATTTAATTTTAGATAGAGAGAAAGATAATTAGAAGTATTTAAGGTTATATCTATTTTAATACTTAATATAAAAGTATATCTCTTACTAATTAAATAATAGCTAAATAAGATTATCTTAAAAGCTATCTTATAAATCGCTATTAGTTTAATATATAGCGAGATTATTAAATCACGATTCGAGCGATAAAAGTTTAAAAGAAAATCTAAAAAGAATAGAAAACTAAATCTACTAAAGCGATATATTAATAGATTCGAAGAATAATATAACGATATTAATAAGATTAAGAAACTACGCTCTTTTAATACCGCTTTCAACTAAAAGTCTCTTATAATAATAATTTATAAAACTAAGAAAGTCGTTAAAGAACTAGTTAAAAGATTAATTAATAAGAGATATATAATAATATATATAGATAATAGCGAGATTAATAAAAAGGTAAGAGTATTAGCTATATCGTTAGATATTAATTCTACTTTTAATATCTATTTAGACTTAAGCGACTAATATATAATATACTTAACGAAGTTATATAATATTTTTTAAGCTCTAATTATAATAATTATATATTAAATAAGATTATAACTTAATAAAGTTATAGTAAATATAAATAATTAAATATTAATTTAGACTATCGAAGACTTAGATAAGTACTTAAAATAGATCTATATAATATAAATAGTATAGATTATTAATTCGCTAAGATATCTCGAGGTAGTAATAGAATTATACTAAATTTCGACGTATATTAATATCAATAATAATAAATAGATAAATAGAGAGGCGAAGAAGGCTATAGACTAATAAGAGCGAGTAATTTATAATAAAAGAGTAAAGATAAATACTAATAAAATAGTCTAATTATTAATCATATAGATAAGAATAATATCGACGATTAAGATAGCTATTAGAGATTACGCGATAAAATAATAAATTATCGAATAGACTAACGAGAAGCGAGGTAATATTCTTAGAAGAATTTAACTAACACTATCAAAATAAATATAACTTCTATATTCGAGAGTTAAGCGCGCTAAAACGTCGCTAATAATGTAAATAAAAATTAAGAAAATAGATCTTAAGGCCTTTCTTTATAATCGATAAATATTAGATATAGAGAATAAGGAATATAAATATAGAGCGAAGTAGACGGCTTGATATATCTTTTATAAATATAGACTATTTAGCAAAAAGCGAGAAATATAATAAATCGAAGAAAGAAGAAAGATAAAAAAAAGGGGTTATTACTTATAAGAATATGCTAATAAAATCACGCTACGCCTCTATAGCGACGGACTTTATAAGAAGTACTAGACTTATTAAGCAATATTAAGCCCTTAATAAGAATTAATAATAAGAATTTACTAGAGTATATAATTAAAAAGAAGGATACGATTAAGACGGGAAGACCTTAGCGATATAGAATATATTCCTTTTCAAGAATTAAGTATAGCAAAACGCAGTATCATAACGATAACTTATATAGTCTCATTTATTTGAGATTATATAATTAGCCGAAATGATTAGATAGATTACGTAACTCGCATAGTCGGTCTAGCGATAAGACTTCAGGGTAGTATGATGTAATCAATCAATCAATCAATCAAACCCTAGCCTTGGAATATTTCTGATTGCGAGCTTTGATCAACATCGACGTGGCGATGAGATAAACGTATTCACACAGGATTCAAGTCTCGCTGAAGGGTGCCGCTACTTTGGCCCAGACATGGGTGTCATCGACTTTCTGGGGAAGCGATGCCAGTCGGTTTCACCTCATTCTGAATGTTCAAAAGCTGGCCGAAGCCCGCGCCTTGCACCTCATGCGTATGCCTTAAGAAGGTTTACCCAATTTCGATCGCGTCTTTCAATGGGATTTGATGCTGCTGAAAGATATTCGTATATACCCGGAAGTGCCCGATACCTGGTAATGCCCGATTTAAAATCCGATAAGTCCGGCGCAACACCAAAATATAGGCATTATTTTTGATTTTGCTACATATCTATCTGAATAAAACGTTACACTATATCGAGGCCCTATAATACAGTGGAATACCATGAAGGATAGCCTACTTGTCACCTCGAACCAGCTCTTTTTGAAGATACGAAGAGAGATAGAAGTCCAGTCAAAAAAAAGGCTACTACACCTCCCACACCAAGCCCACTAATATCACTAACGCTCACCCCATCACAGCAACAACAGCAAGATAAAGAAAGACCTACTTCGTAACAGTGGCGAGCCCCACCGTAGACTTCCCCGCAGGCTCCACCACAGGCTTCACTAGAGGCTCCATTACAGCAATAACAGCGGGATAAAAGAGATAAAAGAGATAAGAAGATAGTTAAAGAAAATGAAATAGAAGAAGAGATAGTGAAAGAAGACGTAATAGAAGAAGAGGTGATAGAAGAAGAGGTGATAGAAGAAGAGATAATAGAAGAAGAGATAATAGAAGAAGAGATAGTAGAAGAAGAGGTAATAGAAGAAGACGTAATAGAAGAAGAGATAACGACGATTTTTTCACGATTCGATAGACCGATAAGGCCCAAAAAACGATAAATTAGGTTTTTAGATATATTAATATTGCTAGCAATGAAAGTCCAGTATTATCCTTCATGATTATACCGAATTACCATAGAATTCTGGTGAAAGGTAGGCATCTTGGTATTGCGCCGGATTTATCGGATTTTAAATCGGGCATTACCAGGTATCGGGCACTTCCGGGTATATACGAATAAGCATCACAGCCAGCGCCAGAGCATCAAAGCCGACTCAAAGGAAGAAAAGTCAGAACACCCAATTTGGCTTCAATAAATCATAGGCAGGTATCCGTACGGCATTTCGAGATGTAATGGGTGACTCAGGGAGTTCCACGAGAGGTGCGAGAGTGCACGGACTGGAGAGCGTAAAACAATAAGCTGCATGTTGATATGGTACTGTTAGTAGGTCTATCGCATACTCTCTCTTTGTATTCTTAATTTAGATTCATTATTCACCGTCGAGAGACCAAGGTAAAATACCTCTGATCGCAACAGTGGGACTGTGGGTTAGTGGGTCCATTATGAGGCCATAGCGGTGGTGGCTGTTTGATCAGCCGTTCCATCATTATGCGATATGCATGCGATATGCGATATGCGATAGTAGGGAGACAGGTGGACATGGCGAGTACTATTTGTATGGCCACTGCACCAGTAGTGGGCTCTTCATTCGAATTGTTCTCTTTCAGAGCCATATCATTGTTCTCAGCATACCAGCTATTTGAGGCTATTGCAGTCACATAGATATCATGCAGCTATTCAGCCATTGGAGCCATGCCAGCCATTGGAGCCATTCCAGCCATTTGCAGCCGCCATGCGACCATGCCACTACCATTTGGATACACACTTCAGCCATTCCACCTATAACTACTCACCTCAGCTATCGCAGCTACATTGAAATTTCAATCATTTCAGCCACTGAAGCCATACGGCTATAAGGATAGTCAGCTATTATAGCTATATAGTATGTAGCCATTTCAGCTAAGTCGGCTATCTCAGACATCGCAGCTATTTAAGTATTTCAGTTATTTCAGCTATTTGAGCTATTGCAGTCATGTTGCTATTTCAGCTGTTTAAGCTATTACAGCCATATGGCTATTTCAGCTATTTAGGCTATTGCAGCCAGGTGGATATTTCAGCTATTTCAGCTATTTGAGCTATTGCAGCCATGTGGCTATTTCAGCTATTTCAGCTATTTCAGCTATTTGAGCTATTGCAGCCATGTGGATATTTCAGTCATTTTAGCTATTTGGGCTACCGCAGCCATGGAGATGTCTCAGTCATTTCAGCTGTTTAGGCTATCGCAATCATAAGGGTATCTCAGCTATCGCAGCCATGGAGAACTCTCAACTATTCCACCTATTTGGGCTATCGCAGCTTTGGAGATGTCTCAGCTATCCCAGCTATTTGGGCTACCGCAGCCATAGAGATGTCTCAGTTATTTCAGCTATTTAAGCTACCGCAGCCATTAGGATATCCTAGCTATTCCAGCCATTTAGACTATTACATCGGGCGATGACGCATACGCGTCAAAGCCTTACATCAGGTGGGAAGCCCCATCTAATGCCGGCCATTGATACATCAGGTGGGAAGCCCCACCTAATGTCAGTCATTAATACATGATATCAGTCATTGATACATGATGCCAGCCATTGGTACATCAGGTGGGAAGCCCCACCTGATGTCAGTCATTAATAGCCATTGATAGCCATTGATACATCAGGTAGGAAGCCCCACCTGATGTCAGTCATTGGTACAAGTCCTTCCGCAGAGGGGCTACAACTTGGTATTAAGAGAGTCAGATTCCTACCGCCTTTTCGTCACTCACCCAGCCTACCTACCAATCAGTAACGCTTACCTCTTAAGGCCGTTACCTGCAACATCAATAACGCTTACCTCTTAAGGCCGTTACCTACAATATCAGTAACGCTTACCTCTTAAGGCCGTTACCTGCAACATCAATAACGCTTACCTCTTAAGGCCGTTACCTACAATATCAGTAACGCTTACCTCTTAAGGCCGTTACCTACAATATCAGTAACGCTTACCTCTTAAGGCCGTCACCTGCAATATCAGTACGTGACGCTTGCCTCCTAAGGCCGTCACCAGCAACCTCCGCGAGGTACCAATGTCACTTGGTGTTGAGGGCTATTATTCAGGCCAGTCCTTCCGCAGAGGGACTGCAACTCAGAGCACCACTACGGCACCAGCACCTTCCAGCCCGTCCGCGCTAATGCTGCCGGTCCCTACTACTTACTGCGGTAGGTACCGTCAGGAGTCCTCCTCGAGACCTTCACCCTCTTAAACGACATCTTAGGTTTGAGAGTTTTTCTAGCGCTAGGGGACCTTTTTCGAGGCTATTTGCATATTCAAATGTCCAAAAAGATCTCAGCTGCCCCAGTGTTAGATATGCCCAATCATATATCTATAGATCTACTTATACATACGTGATTTCTGTATAACCTCACTATTTGCGAACACTAATCGCAACAGTGGGACTGTGGGTTAGTGGGTCCATTATAAGGCCATAGCGGTGATGGCTATTTGATCAGCCGTTTTATCATTATGCGATATATATGCGATATGCGATATGCGATAGTAGGGAGACAGGTGGACCTCGAACTTCGATCGTATTTGCACTGGATCCTGGGACCCTAGAGCAGTCGCTTGGGCCCATAAGGAATGAAGAAGCATAATGACTTCGCGTGACTTATCAATCAAGGAATTGACATGGCTTCGCACCACCCGTGCATCGCTAAACAAATCTGCGGTGAGGCGTTTTGTTTCGTCGCATGTTGGTAGTCGGGGGCAGACCACCTCGAAGCCAGCTTGTTGCAGTTGCTGGATGAAGTCGCTGTAGTGCTCGGGCACGTGCCAGGCCCCATGGACTAGCACAATCGCAGGCTTGACGTTTGGAGCCATGACGATAGTTTGTCGATCAGATATGATCAGAGTGGCTGGAGATGCTGATATTGTAGAAGTCCACCTCGAAAAGGAAACCAACCCTACAGAAGACGAGAGCAAGATCAGTCATCTAAGAATCTTAAAATTATTGGTTTGTTAGGCTATTCACATAGTAACAATAATACTGCGCTTTGTGTCTGTAATTCATGACTTCTACATCCGTAAGGCTTATTAAGAATAAGAATCTTGTGGATGGTTTGGTGAGGAGCCCAATATGTGCGGGTATTTGTTTTCATAAGTCCTGCATTTAGCGATTTCGAAATGGATAAGATTGCTTGGCAAAAAAAATCGCGCCCAGCCTCCGACTTTGCTATCAAAAATATATAAAAATTCAGAAGAAACCATGTTTTTCTTATCTATATTCATGAGTTTTTATTATTTATTAATCTTATTTATATTAAAGTTATATCGATTTATTAATTCTATTACTTTTTTTTTTTAGATTAATTTTAAGAGAATCTTTTTGATAACCTTGATTTTGTATAGAAGAGTACGTTCACTTCGTTACTTTACTTAATAAAAATAAAAATTCAGTTTAAAAAGACTTAACAAAAAAAAACTAATAGAACTTATTAAATAAACTAGATTTTATATAGAAAAGACTTCTTAATAATTAATATTCATAAATTTAGATAAGAAAAACATGATTTTTTTTGGATTTTTTGGATTTTTGGTGGCAAAGTCGGAGGCTGAGCGCGATTTTTTTTGCCAAGTAATCTTATCTATTTCGAAATCGCTAAATATCTTATATAAAAAACCCATCTCTTCAAGTAATGATCTCGAAGGGGGCTGTGAGAGTTGTAATCATTTCACGTCTATACGCACTTACGATCTATATTAGAACTTCTCTAGAAGTAATTTACTTCGCTTATCTACTAGTAATAAGAGAATCTATAGAAGTTTAATGAAATTTAGCGTGTGTAAATGTGATTTTAAATCTTGGCAACTAAATCTAAATCGTCTCTCCCGTAAAATTTATATGTAATTATTAATATTCTTTAGTATTAGTTATTATTATTCGATTTTCATTTATCGTAAGTAGATTTTAAAGCTCTAAATTAATCTATATAGACTAATTATAATATTATAAACTCGTTATATCTTATTATTCTATTAATATCGCCTTTAAAGCTAAAGCGTAAGATCTTCTATATACGTATTAAAAGTCTATTATAATTATAGATAAAATCTATTATATCGAGTAAATAATATATAACTAGAAACGAAATCTATAAAGATATAAAATAATAGTTAAATTATATATTATTTCTATAAACTATCTTTATTATCTTTATATTACGATAAAAGAAAGTCTATTCGAGTATTAGCGATAATATTTATAAATAAATTAAGATAAATTAATCGCGTTTCTAAAAGAGAAATAAAGTATTATCGTTAATAGAAATATTATTTTTAGACTTTTAAAATCGAAACGAATTAGTTATAAGAAAGAATAATATATTAAATATATATAAAGTTAGTAACTTCGTAACGCGTAATAAATCTTTATAATAAATATTATCGTCGATTAGCTAGTTATTTTAAATAAATCTATATTTAAGTTATAGATCGACTAACGATATATAACTTATAAATCTATTAATAATCTTATTTAATAAAGTAATAATATAAGAAAAGAGAAAATATAAAGTATTTTATCGACGTATATAATAGAAGACTATCTCTCGTATATTAAAACTAAGAAGAGATTCTTTAATAATAATAACTTTTTATTATAAGTTACGAATTAATTACTATTTTACTATAATTCTTAATTATAATCTCGAAGTATTATAATTTTAAATAATCTTAATATATATTTAAATTAACGCGTTCGAGAGATAATCGAGACTAAAGACTATCTTATAAGATTTTTTTCTTTATATTTATTAGACTATAGTCTTATCGAGTTAATATTTAATATTTTAAAGATCTAAATAAGACGTTATTTTCGTCGTCTACGATTTTACTTTAAGAGTAATTTTAAAGAACTTCTATATTACGTAATTAAGTATAGTAAGTATAAAAATATATAATAAAATACTTTTAATATATAGCTAAAGAGTATAAATTTAAAGGCGATTATAAGATTTTTTAAAAAGAGCTTAAAGTATAGTTACTTTCGATAAAGAAAGAGTAAGAAGATAAATATTATAAATTTAAATCTATCTATATAATAGTTTATTATTATTAATTAAGATTAGCTCTATAGCTTAGCTCTACGCTAGCGTATTAAGCTAAGATCTATCGTTTCTATATATATATATATACGTTATATTTAGAAATCTTATAGTTGAAATTTCATTTAAATTATATTTAAATACTATTTAAGTTTTATATATAGTCTTTAATATAATTCTAACTATTCTTTTAAGTAATAGCGACTTAATAAGCTATTTACTAAGTTAATATAAAATCGAATTTATACGTAAGTACTTTATATTATAGATATCTCGCGTATTATATAGATATAATAATACTATTATTATAATATCGAACGCGACTTAAAGTTAACGAAGTTAAAAGTTAAGTAAAGTTTACTCGCTTTTATATAAATATATATATCTAAAACTTTATATCTAAGTTTTATAGATAAAAAGAAAAATTCTAATAAATTAATAAGACTTAATTACTTTAATAAGATAATAAATAACTTATTTACGAAGTTAAAAGAAAATGAAATTATAATTACTAATTCTTCTTCTTATATATCTATAAGATTCGACTCGAATAATATATAAAGTTAAACTATTTAAGAAGATTCTACGTTAAGACTCTTATATTTTTATAAGTTAAAGAACTTATTTATAAAGAACTTAGAACGCTTCTTTAAAAGTAAAGAAAAGAAAAAGATATTCGCTAATAACGGTAAATCGCGACGATATATAATTAAATTAAATAAATTTAAAGAAGAATTTATATTATCTAAGAAGATAGATAAAGATAATATCGAAAAAGAAGAAATACTATTTAAAAAGATATAGATCGCTACGAGCTTTCTAAATAATATATCTTAATACTTAAAGAAATAATATAACGTAATTTAAATAATAGCTATTAGTATATTCGCTTTTTAGAAATAAATTATAAAACTTACTAATAATATTTATATTAATAAATAAATATATTACTACTTTAATTTAATAGTTAAAGAAATTTATTATAATATTAAAGATACTTTAAAAAAATAATAAGCGATTATAATATATACGTAAGAAGTATTATAATCTAACTAATAATCGCGTTAAAGAGATCTTTAATTTTAAGAAAGAGTTAAATATAAAAACTATAGAAGAGACTCTTAGAGAGTATATTAATTCTAATAAATCGAAGATAATTTAATTATTTACGAGTGTTAATAAGTTAAGTAATAAAAGTTATAGAAATTAATATAGATTACGATCTTCTATAAGATATAGATCGTAATTCTCTTAATCTTAAATTTAATAAAAGTATTCTTCGAACTTTTATTAGATAGTTATAAATATCTTAAATACTTTCTATATCTTATCTTAGTTACTTATATATCGAAAGAATATCTATTATTATATCTAATCTTTTAGAGATATATCTTTCTACTTAGAAACTAAGCTCTTTAATTTCTCTATCTCTAACGTACTTCTAATATTCTTAATAACGAACTACTTTATCTTTTCTTATATCTTATACTTTTATATTAATATATTTAACGTAATTCTAGAGATAATACTTATTATTTATATTCTTATATAAGATAATAGTAATATATATAAGTTCTCTATTAATTCTTAATATATCTCTAGCTTTTTCTTATATATATTTAAGCTAACGAAGAAAACTTTACTATTACTAAAAGCTTTAATAAGAGTAACTTTATTAATAACGATATCGCGAGTAGTATTAATTATTATAATATTATCTTTTATCTTCGAGAATTATAACGTTAATTAGTATATATAAAAGAATAAGATAGAATTAAGTTAGAAAATCTTAAATTTATATATATAGTTAATTATAAATTTAGAGTTACTACGCTCTTTAATTAGATCGACTAAGTTATCGCGGATAAATAAATTAGCGTTTATAATTATTAAAATCTCTTACTCTACTTTTAATCCTTTAATAACTTTACTATTTTCTATTAAAATTTTAAGATTATTTTTTTAAATTATAAAGCGTATATTACGCTTTTAAACGCTTTAAGAATTTCGAAATTTAATCTTATAATTATTAAAGGGCAAGGTATTTAAATATCGCTTACTAAAGATTACTTACTAAAGATCGCTTACTAAAGATCGCTTACTAAAGATCGCTTATTAAATTTACTCGATAGTTCTAATTAAAAAAATCGATTATAAATTTATATTATAGGTCTTTACTCGTATTATATAATAAATAAAATCTAGAATAAGTAACTATTAATTAGAAGAGGAGGATAAATTATTTTAGAAAGGAAATAATAGAATTTAGATAGAAGAAAACGTCTCTTCTAGTAAATACGAGACTTTTATTTAAAGATATATTTAGACTTATTATATTACTAGACTCTAGAAGCTTCTTAAATTCTATATACTTCGCTTCTTCGCTTATTTTCTCGCTTAGCTTATTCTTATTATAACGAGTAAAGATCTATAAATTAAATTCATAATTATTTTATTTAATTAAAGCTGTCGAGTAAATTTAGTAAGCGATTTTTAATAAGCGATTTTTAAATTCTATATATTTGAAGAATTATAAGATTAAATTTCGAAGTTTTTTATCTTTAAAAAGCGTAAGCTATAGCTTATAACTTAAAAAAAAATCTTAAAATTCAAATAGAAAATAAAAAAGTTATTCTAAAATTAAATAATATACATCTATTTTTTTATTAGAGCTGTCGATAAACTTGATAAGCGAACTTTAATAAGCGATATTTGAACTCCTTACGCTTTAATAATTATAAGACTAAATTTAAAAATTCTTTTTTTATCTAAAAGCGT